CATGCTTTACGGTGGGAACTACCCATGCGGAGATCATCCGTTCACCCACACCGCGTCTCACAAAGACACAGCGGCTTCAACCAAAAATCTCTAATTTGGACTCCAGACCAAAGGACAAATTTACACCAGTCTAATGTCCATTGCTTGTGTTTCTTGGCCCAAGCAGGTATATTCTTCTTATTGGTGTCCTTTAGTAGTGGTTTATTTTCAGCAATTCGACCATGAAGGCCTGATTCACAGAGTCCCTTCTAAACAGTTGATGTTGAGATGTGTCTGTGACTTGAACTCTGTGAAGCATTTATTTGGGCTGATAACTCTAATGAACTTATCCTCTGCAGCAGAGGTAATTCTGGGTCTTCCATTCCTGTGGCGGTCCTCATGAGAGCCAGTTTCATCATAGCGCTTGATGGTTTTTGCAACTGCACTTGAATAAACTTTCAAAGTTCTTGAAATGTTTTGTATTGACTGACCTTCATGCCTTAAATTAGTGATGGACTGTTGTTTCTCTTTGCTTATTTGAGCTGTTCTTGCCATAATATGGACTTGGTCTTTTACCAAATAGGGCTATCTTCTGTGTACACCCCCCTACCTTGTCACAACACAACTGATTGGCTCAAACGCATTAAGAGGAAAGAAATTCCACAAATTAACTTTTAAGAAGGCACACCTGTTAATTGAAATGCATTCCAGGTGACTACCTCATGAAGCTGGTTGAGAGAATGCCAAGAGTGTGCAAAGCTGTCATCAAGGCAAAGGGTGGCTATTTGAAGAATCTCAAATATAACATATATCTTGATTTGTTTAACTGTTTTTTGGTTACTACATGATTCCATATGTGTTATTTCATAGTTTTGATGTCTTCACTATTATTCTACAATGTAAAATAAATAAAGAAAAACCCTTGAATGATTAGGTCTGTCCAAACTTTTGACTGGTAGTGTATAAAGAATGAAATTATTCACAGTATTGTGGTAAGAATGTGCCCAAAAAGCTGTCCGAATTGCTGATTTCTGAAGATGTTATGATCAATAATTGTAAACAGTAAATAGGATAACTTTGTATATAATTTTTAATCAGCCCACATCTATGAATATTTACATGTATAAATCGATTTTAAATGTTTGAAGATTAAATATTGCAATCAAGGATTTAAACATTATTTGGACAGCTATTTGGGCACATTTTTATCACAATTCGGTGAATAATTTAACATCTTTATATATCTGGCACACCTGGCTCATTTGGTTGTGTATTCTACATCACTATGAACATTTTAATATATTATTGGGCATACTACAATTCACAGGAGGTTGGTGGCACCTTAATTGGGGAGGACAGACTCGTGGTAATGGCTGGAGCGGAAATTGGTGGAATGGTATCAAATACATCAAACACATGGTTTGATGCCATTCCATTCACTCCGTTCCAGACGTTATTATGAGCTGTCCTCCCCTCAGCAGCCTCCACTGCTACAATTATAATTTATACAGTTATGGTCATGTGAAATTGATCAAATACGACCCCATTGAGTTGTTTGGCAGCCATATTGGAAAAAGGCTTCTGGGGGATTAACCCTTTACACCCGTGGGAATTGGCCTATATGGATAGGGCTAAATTGAAATGTTTCTTACAGAAGAAAAATGAAAAGCATATGCATAACCATGGTAGCAATTGAAAGGGAACCGTTTGGAGAATATGGAGAAATTATTAGACCAAAGGTGAGGACACAAGTTCACCTGAGACAAGACTGAATCCAAACATTACACTCTTGCTGTTGATTTATTGTGCATTTTACATTTACTGTACTTTTTGCTGCATTTGTTGATAACGAAATCTGAAAATACTCTGGATACATTCAGTAACATGATAAGAATATTCCTGCAACATAAAACAAAAAATGACAAGGGTTTGAGTGAGAGGACTAACTGGTGTATCCAAGTGGCCACATACCTCTCCAAAGTGTTCACAGTTCCTTAGTAATTTCAAAGCACTTTTATGACTCAAAGAAGAGTCCTCAACTATAAGGTGCTTTTTTGAGCTCTGCTAGCTGTGCTGTTGAGGAACTAGAGCAGGGATGGGCAAATTCGATGGGGGTGGGGGCCACAAAAAATCTGAACTCATCATGAGGGGCCGGCCACAGTCCCCCCCCCTACTTCTTGTCGCGCGAGGTGCTCAAGTTCAGAACGGCTGTCAGTCAAAAAAAAACAGAAATATAACATTTACATAAGTATTCAGACCCTTTACTCAGTTCTTTGTTGAAGCACCTCTGGCAGCAATTACAGCCTGGAGTCTTCTTGGGTATGACACTACAAGCTTGGCACACCTGTATTTCTCCCATTCTTCGCCCCAGTCTGAGGTCCTGAGTGCTCTGGAGCAGGTTTTCATCCATTCATCTTTCCCACCTATCCTGACTAGTCTCCCAGTCCCTGCCGCTGAACAACATCCCCACAGCATGATGCTGCCACAACCATGCTTCAGCATACGAATGGTGCCAGGTTTCCTCCAGACTTGACGATTGGCACTCAGGCCAAAGAGTTCAATATTTGTTTCATCAGACCAGAGAATCTTGTTTCTCATGGTCTGAGAGTCCAAGCAGGCTGTCATGTGCCTTTTACTGGATGATTTAAGGATGATCAATGGAAACAGGATGCACCTGAGCTCAATTTTGAGTCTCATAGCAAAGGGTCTAAATAATTATGTAAATAAGGTATTTCCATTTTGTATTTTTATTTTTAATAAATGTGCAAAACTTTCTAAAAACCTGTTTTCGCTTTGTCATTGTAACCCTGTTCTAGCTGTGTGTGTGCAATTTGGTGCTTCTATCACCAAAGTTACAATCCAAAAACATTGCTTCCCAACTACATGGAATCCTATGGCTAAGTTTCTAACATTCTAATGTCAATGGCACAATACGGGCTATTTTAAAACAACAGTTGTAGGTGGTGCTTTCAAAGTTGGTTATAGTATATATTATTTTTAATGTAATTTCATGACTTTTCAGAACCACTTGTCAAACTAAGTTTAAAAAGTATCAGGGTTTCCTTTTTAAAGCAATTTTTACTGTTAATTCTGATATGTACCCTAGAGGCCAAAGGTCAGTTATGTTGACCTGAATCTAAGCTTTCCAATGATAAATGATTAAAGGGTATACGTGAGCAATAATTTGTTGTATACTAACATTGTTTGTCATAGGGTAATGTCCCTATGGGAAATATGAATGGAATGGAGGGATGAATGAAAGCCTGACAACACAGAGAAAGCTGCCATTGCTGCACTGCCACCACACATTTTACAACTCTAGGGACATAGACCTTCAAGAAAATCACTATGGGACATCGTCACCCCAAGTGAGCCCGAAGTCCCACATTTGTGGGGCTTACCCATGGACTATAAAGAGCAGAGGTGGGCAACTCTGACTCTGGAGTGCCACTGTGTGCAGGCTTTTGTTGCAGTGTAACACTAATGCAGGGGAGCCCATCCTTGGCTGACTGTGGATGGGTTGGGTATAGGAGTTTGGAAACGGTGTCCAGAGAACATGACTATGTATCTAGTCCAGCCTAGCTCTAGAGAGCCCAAGGGGGCATTCCTACTGTAATGTAATGGATGGAATTGGAGTCATGATAAGGGAAAAGTCCAGCCAGACAGTTGCATAGACCATAGGGCAGAGTCAAAGCAGGACCAGCCAGGCATGTAGTATGGCACAGCATGGTGGAGGCTGACCCACTGAATTAGATGAGGGCTCACTTCCAATGCCCTAGAAAGTGTCAGTGTTATTTTTATATTTATGGTGATTTGTAATCATTTCATTGTAAGTTGCACAGAAAATGTATAGAATTTAAGTCATACCACAGATTTTCAATTGGATTGTCCCGTGTAGCTCAGTTGGTAGAGCATGGCGCTTGCAACGCCAGGGTTGTGGGTTCGATTCCCACGGGGTGCCAGTATGAAAAAATGTATGCACTTACTAACTGTAAGTCGCTCTGGATAAGAGCGTCTGCTAAATGACGTAAATGTAAATAAGGTGCCATGTAGAATAGGCTTATTGGGAATCATGCCAGTCCTATATGCATTCATCCAGTCTATATAGGCCTGAATGGCTCTGCATTTACTTACATTCTGAACATTTCAGTAGGCTCCTGAACATGGCCCGATAGGAGCCAGGGGCCAAAGGAAGGAAAAAAGAGAGGTGACTGAAAAACCTCATCATTATAAAGAAGTATTCAAGAGTGTAGGCCTACTAGGCTATATGAAATATGTTGTTGCATGGTGCAACCATAGAGATCCCATTAAAGTATTCTAATTCCTAATTCTAAGAGTGCAACATGGTATTTCAGATGATCGATAGCATATCCATAATTTACCACCATGCATGCAGTTGCAATTCTGATTTAACCAGATACATTGTATCATATTTGTATTGCATTGCAACATATAGGCTACATGTATTGAAATACACACTTTTCATCTATTGCATTTTCCAGAACCTGGAGATAACAGGCCATTTATTCTATCCCCAATAAATTGCAGCTGCGCTGGATTATTTTGTCGGCTGATTATTTTTTCGCATCACCTCTTCGCCACAGCCAACAAGGGTTTGCTGCCCGACGTTTATGTTCACTTTATGCTAAGGGTGGCATAAATGACGGGTGTAATCATGGAAGATATATATTGGGACAATTTTCTCGCATCAAATGAGGCTATATGAGTTTAGAGGAGAGCCGCTACGTGTGTCTCCCTCTCTCACACCGACCCCCCTCCTCCTCCGCTGGCAATTTATAAAGAACAAAAAATTCGACTAGGGAGGGGGTTGATACGCCGAAGCTGAAATCGAGAGGCGAACCCAGGAAAGGAGTATATTGTACACGCGACTTTCCCCCCCTTCGTCCCCCAAAAGGAGGGGGAAAAGTCACAATTGTGGAATCGAAAAGGAAAATAAGGTTCAAAAGACGTGAAAACGTCTTCCGTTGTGGATATCGTATATCTTTTTAATTCGAAAAAATATGGCCGAGAACGTTCTGGACTCTGGCCCGCCTTCAGCAAAGAGGCCTAAACTATCCTCTCCGGCACTGTCTGTCTCCGCCAGCGATGGGAACGGTAAATATTGTTTTTAATTTGGTTTGTAAGGATATTATTTTGTATGTTTATTTGGTATTATTTTCAATGATTTGTGATTTTTATTCGAAATGGAAAGGGGCCGTGCGATTGCCCCACTGTTTTTGTCGTACTAGCTCTAGCTACTTGGTAGCTAGCGAGTGTGTGTCGGACTTGACTAGCAGTAGGCTAGTAATTTCAGAAATACGATGAACGCTGGCTACTTCTGTAGCGAGTTACGAATGCGGGGCTTAGATTGATGGCTACCTCGCTGCATGGGTAGTTGGCTACATACTTAGTATATTTGTCGTTATTATTTAGGTATTAAATACTTGCAAATAAAAATGGTATGTCAACAACACGGCTAAAATTATTTTAAATTAATATCCCCGAGATTGACAAGGACGCGTTCCTTTTAGGCGACACGGGTAACGTTAGCTAGCTAACTATTTTTAAGTAGCTAACGTAAGCTAAAGCTCTAACTAGTGTTTAAGCTTACGGCTTGATCGGTGTGGCAAATGATGGTTGGAAAAATGTTTTATAATAAAGTAACTAACTAGCTAATTCAGCTAACTAAATGGCAATCCATGAAACACAAATGGTTCAATTCGCTCACTAGTAAATTGGCTTGCCTAGCCAAGTAGCTAGCTACTTTGCTTGCTAGTTAGCTATTTGTAGGTTGCTAGCTTGCTGTTTAGTCAGCTCGCTAGCTAACTTTCAAAGCGAGTTATGACAAAGCTCTCATCGCCATTCAATGCTAACTAGCTAACGCGTTAACTCATAAACACACCAACGAACAGTTAACTTAAACACTTTCTGATGTTTAGACATTTTCCAACAGAGTATTTCATAAAGTTAGCTCATTAACGATAACTATATATAACAAACGATATAACGTTAGCTAGCAAACTATTTGGTGAAGTTTCCTTCACCTGGTTACCTGGTAAAGTTACATGTTTCCAATTTAGTAAGCTAGCTTAGTTTTATTGATGTTTGCTAGCTAACGTGAATTACATAGACATGGTTAGATAGCTACTGCAGCAGGCCCATCCATGTAACGTTAGCTAGCTCGCTAACCGAGTGATTAAGTTCAAATTGCCATTGTTAGTTTTTCTGAAGATGTGTGGGAGAGACTGGAGGACCCAGGCTAGCAACTTTATACAAAAAGCAAAAAAATTACAGGGTTAAGACAAAAAGCCATAGAACTGGGCCACATTATTTACCACTGATGTGTTAAAATGGCCTTCTGCAGATGCTCGCTAGTAGTTATGTGAAAAGGCATTTTTGAAACTGTTCGTTCATTTTGCCATTGCATATCTACGGCCTCCCATTGTCCATCCATTACGTGCTAAAGTCAGCCACTTGACACAAAATACTTTGAGGTTCCAAGGTACCCTAGTAACAGAAAATTATCCAGTGCCTGTACTGCACTTTTGAAATGTATTTTTCCCCCATAATACTCAGAGAATGCTGTGGCAGTCCAATGTATCCAGAAAAACAATCCTGTAGGCCTATATGTAATTTTTTAAAATTCTCTAGTTGTCATTTTGTGATGATCAGACTCATCCCTGGGTTGTGTTCAATACTCTGGCACATCTTTGCAAAACGTTACCCTTCTGTTTCGCTCCATTTCAATGTTTTTTTCTCCCGTTTGTTGCCTACTGAACATGACCCTGGTGATGGACCTGTGTGTCCAGAGGGTCTCTATTAACCTGTCTCTCTCAGTGTGGCGTTAACGCAGTGTCGAGCCCCATCCATCACACTGTGTGTGTAAACCTGTCTCTGTCTGCGCCAAGCTTTAGCTCGAGGTCCAGCAGTCTGTGGTCGGCCACTGTGTGTGTTTGTGGGGGGGGAGGAGAGTGTCTGTTTGGGCATCCGCCTTCATTTCAAAGCTTTGGTTTTCCTCATTATACAAATGTAGTTCTCAGGCTATGTCAATTAGCCACCTCATTTGATGCAACCATGTCTGATTTATGTTTGAATGCAGTGTGCTGGATTTGGTTTTGTTAAGAGTAATTTATTCTTATGCCAGCAATGTACCCTGGCACACCTCTCACTCCTTCTTTCTCTTTTTTAAAATCTTCCAATCCCCTCTTCTCTTTCTCCATACTCTCTTGTTCTCTCCCTCCCTGCACAGATTTTGGCTCGTTGTTTGACCTGGAGCATGACCTCCCTGACGAGCTCATCAACTCCTCAGAGTTGGGCCTGGTCAACGGCGGGGACCTCAGTCAACTGCACACCAGCCTGGGAGGAGGAGGAGGAGGTGGGATGGGGTTGGGCCTGGGCCCTGGAGGAGGAGGGGGTGGCCAGGACGCGGTGGCCAAGCACAAGCAGCTCTCTGAGCTCCTTCGGTCAGGTGCTCCGCACGCCTCCACCCAGCAGGGCGCACTGGGCAGCCCAGGCGGGGCCAGCATGGGCCACCTGGGGAACATGAAGGCTTCCCCTGGGCCCCAGGGCATGGGACAGCAGCAACACCTCTCTCCCCAGCAGCAGGCCAACATGATGCAGCAGCAGGCGGGGATGGTGGGCGGCATGAACAGGGGCATGATGGGGGCCCAGAAGGGCAACGGACAGCAGCAGCAATCCATGATGGGCGGGCAGGTGATGAACGGATCCCCCAGGATGGGCTTCTTGAACCAGGGGATGGGGGGGAACAGTAACCTGCTGGCTGAGAATCTGCAGCAGCAACAACAGCAGCAGGGGGCTGGTGGACAGTCTGGACTCAGAGTACAGCAACCTGGAGCAATGAACAAGGTATGTATGGACCCTTCAGACAACAGGGCAGATATGTTTTTTTAATTGACCAGTTCTTTATTTTACCAAGGAGGGGACATTGAGATTGGTGTTTTTTTTTTTCAAGTAAGCCCCCCTGACCAAGAAAGCTATATGCAGTTATTTTTTGCCCACACAACATTACAATGCAATAGTTTATTCACGCGAAAAGAGAGCAGGCTAAAATAGCATTATTCATTACTCATATTAAGGATGTATTAATCATGGTTAAAAAAAAAAAAAAGATCAAAAATATATCAAAAGCTCGGGGTGGTTAAGGGCTCTGTCGGGGAGGAGGAAGACCATTGAAAAGAGCATGGCTGGGATATGGAGGGAGAAAGCTGGGGAGGAGGGATATATGCAAATTGATGAAAACATTCACTTAACCCCCAGCTCTTAGAGAGGGGGAGATGCACACACACCAGCGCCACTGCCTTCTGCATTGCTTGCTCTTTGGGGTTTTAGGCTTGGTATCTGTATAAGCACTTTGTGACAACTGCTGATGTAAAACGGACTTTATAAAATAAATGTCATATTTTACTACAAATTGGGAGCCCTGTGGAAGCCCTTGATTAATTGAACACATCAGTGGTCGTCTTATTCCAACATGTCAACATGAAATGTGGGGCAACCGTGGCATGGCGGAGTGGTAATTGGGCTACCTGTTCTGAGACATCATTAATGAGTTAATTGAACCCACCAATGCTACCTGCCGCTAATTGATTAGAAATTAAGTATATTGTCTCTCTTTAGAAGTGGTTGATTTAATTGGTGTGTAAATGGCAGGGAGGGGAAGATGATTAGTGGTAAAAAGCAGCATGATTTAATAATCGCTCTCTGAAAGGGAGATGGTTGTTCTTTTAGCTTTGATGCTCTTCACTTTGTTAGTGAGTAATACCCCTGTGGTTGTGTTCATTTAACAGGACTACTCTGTCTGAAACGACACAATTCAATTGACTTGAACACTTACATTTTCTAACTCATTGTTTGGAACAGCATATAAAAGCTGTAGAAATAGATGTCCATTTATTTCACTGTCGTTGTCCCCCCCCCCTCCTCAGATGGGTATGATGGGTAACCCGGGCCCCTATGGAGGCCCCTATGGAGGGCAGCAAGCAGGCCAAGGCCTTGGGGGAGCAGGGCTGGGTCCTCCACTCCAGAACAAAGGCTCCATGCCCAACAGCCTGGCCCAGTTCAGCATGGACAAGAAGAGCCAGCCCATGCAGGGCATGGCTGCCATGGTAAGGAAGTTGGCTAGCTAGTCTCCTACCTAGCATTTCTAACTTACCTGTCACGGAGCCTTCTTATGCAGGAGGTGCTACCTTTTTGGGTACCAGTCAACTGCAATGACCAGCCCTTAACCTACGATTATGGTTGCATTAATGTCGGTTGTTGTCTTTTCTCTGTTCCTCCGCTCTATCCCCAGGCCTCCCAGCAATCTGCTGCAGGTGTGGGCGGGGGAGCCGGGGGCACTGCAGGGATGGTCCCCAACGCCCAGGGAGGCCTGGGGCCTGCCGTGTCTGCAGCCGCAGCAGCCGGGGCTCCCCCTACGGCCGACCCCGAGAAGCGCAAGCTTATCCAGCAGCAGCTAGTGCTCCTGCTCCACGCACACAAGTGCCAGCGGCGGGAGCAAGCCAACGGGGAGGTGCGCCAGTGCAACCTGCCACACTGCCGCACCATGAAGAACGTCCTCAACCACATGACCCACTGCCAGGCCGGCAAGTCCTGCCAAGGTGAGCTGATGAGACGCAGAGTAGACCTGCAAGATGGTTCCCTGTCACACCTATACCCGAGATGTGTATGATATTCATCAAGCGCTGTCTGAAGTACTCATCACATTAGCTTTTTCTCCCTCCCTCCCTTTATATTTTCCTTCTCTCTCTGTCCCACCCCCCTCTCCCTCTCTCTGCCCCAGTGGCTCACTGTGCTTCATCCAGACAGATCATCTCTCACTGGAAGAACTGTACGCGGCACGACTGTCCGGTCTGCCTGCCGCTCAAGAACGCAGGGGACAAGAGGAACCAGCAGTGTGAGTGTATCTGCTGTTCTCTCTCTACCCCTCCCTCCCTCAGTCTGTTAGCTGGCTCGTGTAATAGTTGTATGCGCTTGTAGTAGTCTTATTGGGTTTAAAGAGCCGTCAGGTCTCAACTCTTTCAAGTAGTGTGTATGGATGGACATTGTTTTATGATTGCACTCTGCCATGGACTGTTGCCTTATAAATATGTTGTAAGTGACTACGTTTTAAACTTTGACAGAAGAATGCCTTGTTCCTGACCTAGGTGTTCATAGCATATGTCCTAGAGGACAGAAGTATTATCAGCCATCGATCTCTCCCGTCTCTACAGCTCTACTAGGAGGTTCTGGTGTAGGTCTGGGTAGTTCCTTGGGCTCAGTGCCCGGAAGCCAGCCCAGCACCCCAAACCTCAACCCCCCCAGCCAGATGGACCCCAGCTCCATCGAGAGGGCCTACGCAGCCCTGGGGCTCACTTACCAGGGCACCCAGATCCAAAACCAGGCCTCTCTGCCCTCACAGGGCCTGCAGAGCCAACCGGGCATGAGGCCGCTCAATCCCATGGGTAAGCTGTTTAGTTAGCTAGTCCAGTCTACTGTATGTTTTTTTTAATTTAATTTTTACTGGTGTAAGTAATTGATGTACTACAGCAACAGTGTGCATGTTCCTCTTGGGGATTGAAGCTGTAACCAGTCAATATCCACAGTAGTAAGTTTATACTGCTGCTTTCCCTAACCCGAAACCTCCCCCTCTTCTCCACTTTAATGGGAATTACTCCAGCACACACACACACGTTTACCTCTGCACGTTTTGTTTGTCAACATTTGTCAAGTTGACCTTTTTATCAAGTCATTTGCAAATAAAACATGCAGGGGGAAGAATTTCTGTCATTGACTTCTAAGTAGTGTTTGTTTTTTTGGATTCTCAGAGCCACAAACAAAGGTCATGTTGAATATTGACCGTGTGTATTAATGTTTCTTACTCACTGTCAGGTGGTAACCCGATGGGCGTGAATGGAGGAGTGGGTGTTTCACCCCAGAACCAGCAGGCCAGCCTGCTACAGGACACCATGCTACACCTCAACATGAACTCCCAGGGGTGAGTAGCAGACCTGCCTTCAAATATAATTATTAGCTTTCTTTTCAATACTTCTAGCTGCGTTTTGGCGCAATGGAACCAATAGAATAGTCCCAAAAGTGCAAATCCCATCGACCACACCTGACACTCCAGGCAGGCGCTATCAAACACTCAAAGTTAAGTAATTTCTGGATAAAAACATAAAATAATTTTAGAGTGATGAATTTAACTTTGTGTTCTAGTCTGATGAGCGACGCGGGCGGGGCGGGTAACATGGGGTCCATGCCCACGGCGACCCCACCCTCGGCAGCGGGCATGAGGAAGAGCTGGCACGAGGACATCACCCAGGACCTGAGGAACCACTTGGTGCACAAACTGTAAGTGACTTTGAGCTGGGATGGAGGGACAATACAGCCTCTGGATGAGGCCTAAAAACACAGTCTTATACAGCTAAAGAGTTACAGCCTATAGATAATGAAGACATCCTGCTAAACTTGGCTTTTGATTTAGAAGTCTTTCTTTCTTTTGAATTTGGTTCAATTAGTTGTATACAAGCCAAAAACTAGCCTCCGTTTCAATGCAGCTATCTCATGTCATAGATGGGTATCCTGTAAGAACATGGAACATTGAATTGCTAGGAAAAATAGGAAATATGAAGAGAAGTATGTGGTAAATGTACCAGCCCAGACATTGCCGAACAGGCCACAGACAGTTTCACAGTAAACTCACATCCTCTGAGATTTCATGTAGTGCAGAACTATAGAAACACTGACTATGACAAAACACACTGACCACATTCACCACATCTAAGCACCTCCCCACTGTCATCCAGCTCAGACACGGCTAGCTAGGTGTGATTGAGTCTGCTTACGACACTCTTCCCTGCTGTATCTCCGCTAGGGTTGCTCTTTTAATCATTATCTCGATGGGACAAAATAAAAGTTAACAAAAGTTTTATTTGCTCTGAAATGTGCTTTGCGTCCTACTCTCGTTCACATTTCCTCCCAGTTTCCCTAATGTCTTGTGTGTGTAGGGTACAAGCCATCTTCCCGACCCCAGACCCTGCTGCTCTGAAGGACAGACGGATGGAGAACCTAGTGGCGTATGCTAGGAAGGTGGAGGGGGACATGTACGAGTCTGCCAACAGCAGGGTAAGCTGCTACACTGACTGAGTGAAGAGACTCTTTCACTGAGTTTCTGTTGAGAGGGGGCCAACCCTAAGACAATACAACTGTCTGTGGAATACAAGTGCACTTCAGAATTTGTCTCCTTTCGTGTATTTGTCTATTCCTATTATGTTCTAACTAATTCCCCCTCTCTTTCCCTTACGCTATTCCCCTTTCTCATCATTCCCCCTCTTCGATCATCCTCTTCCTAACCTTCATTCATCTCACTCTATCCTTTCTCAATCGCTCTCTCCTCCTCCCAGGCGGAGTACTACCACCTGTTGGCTGAGAAGATCTATAAGATCCAGAAGGAGTTGGAGGAGAAGAGGCGGACGCGGCTCCAGAAGCAGGGTATGTTGGTGCCCACTCAGCCTGGTCCTGGGCCTGGCATGCCCCCCTACAGGATTTAGGTCTCTGGGCCAGCTAGCATGCCCCCCTACAGGGTTTAGGTCTCTGGGCCAGCTACTGCCTCTCACTGAGTGGACCGGACACACATATGTAATAACACAAACAGATGCTCAGACAGGATACACATACTCTCTATAGTGCGATCGCGGCAATACATCCGCTCTCTTCCTTATCGCTCTCCATCATTTCGCCTCTCCACCCCTACAGATGGTCCCCTCCCTGACCACTCTCTGGTGCGGCCCGGTGGAGCCAACCAGATGGTTAATAGGATGCAGAACCCTGCAGGTGAGTCCATGGGGACAGGAGAGAGGGGTCGCCAAACAGAGATGTAACATTATTGGGCTGTTTTCAGTGGTGGTATACCTCATAGTTTCACTTGAGAGGTTACTACATTTGGCTCATGTTGACAATCATGTTTTTTTCTGTAACCTTATTAGTGTGCCTTGAGTCAAATCTAATTTTATTTGTCACATACACGTGTTTAGCGGGTGTAGCGAAATGCTTGTGCTTATAGCCACGAAAGTGCAGTACTATCTAACAATTTCACAACATATACCCAATACACACAAATCTAGTAAGGAATGGAATTTAAGAACATATGGCCAAGCAATGACAGAGCTGCATGGACTAAGATACAGTATAATATTATAGAATACAGTATATACAGTGAGGGGAAAAAAGTATTTGATACCCTGCTGATTTTGTACGTTTGCCCACTGACAAAGAAATGATCAATCTATAATTTTAATGGTAGGTTTATTTGAACAGTGAGCGACAGAATAACAACAACAAAAATCCACGCATGTCAAAAATGTTATAAATTGATTTGCATTTTAATTAGGGAAATAAGTATTTGACCCCCCTCTCAATCAGAAAGATATCTGGCTCCCAGGTGTCTTTTTATACAGGTAACAAGCTGAGATTAGGCGCACACTCCACAGAAGCAATCAATCAATCAGATTCCAAACTCTCCACCATGGCCAAGACCAAAGAGCTCTCCAAGGATGTCAGGGACAAGATTGTAGACCTACACAAGGCTGGAATGGGCTACAAGACCATCGCCAAGCAGCTTGGTGAGAAGGTGACAACAGTTGGTGCGATTATTCGCAAATGGAATAAACACAAAAGCACTGTCAATCTCCCTCGGCCTGGGGCTCCATGCAAGATCTCACCTTGTGGAGTTGCAATGATCATGAGAACGGTGAGGAATCAGCCCAGAACTACACGGGAGGATCTTGTCAATGATCTCAAGGCAGCTGGGACCATAGTCACCAAGAAAACAATTGGTAACACACTACGCCGTGAAGGACTGAAATCCTGCAGCGCCCGCAAGGTCCCCCTGCTCAAGAAAGCACATATACATGCCCGTCTGAAGTTTGCCAATGAACATCTGAATGATTCAGAAGAGAACTGGGTTAAAGTGTTGTGGTCAGATGAGACCAAAATGGAGCTCTTTGGCATCAACTCAACTCGCCGTGTTTGGAGGAGGAGGAATGCTGCCTATGACCCCAAGAACACCATCCCCACCGTCAAACATGGAGGTGGAAACATTATGCTTTGGGGGTGTTTTTCTGCTAAGGGGACAGGACAACTTCACCGCATCAAAGGGATGATGGACGGGGCCATGTACCGTCAAATCTTGGGTGAGAACCTCCTTCCCTCCGCCAGGGCATTGAAAATGGGTCGTGGATGGGTATTCCAGCATGACAATGACCCAAAACACACGGCCAAGGCAACAAAGGAGTGGCTCAAGAATAAGCACATTAAGGTCCTGGAGTGGCCTAGCCAGTAAATGTATGCACTCATTGCTACTGTAAGTCGCTCTGGATAAGCGCGTCTGCTAAATAACTTAAAAGTAAAGTCTCCAGACCTTAATCCCATAGAAAATCTGTGGAGGGAGCTGACGGTTCGAGTTGCCAAACGTCAGGCTCGAAACCTTAATGACTTGGAGAAGATCTGCAAAGAGGAGTGGGACAAAATCCCTCCTGAGATGTGTGCAAACCTGGTGGCCAACTACAAGAAACGTCTGACCTCTGATTGCGAACAAGGGTTTTGCCACCAAGTACTAAGTCATGTTTTGCAGAGGGGTCAAATACTTATTTCCCTCATTACAATGCTAATCAATTTATAACATTTTTGACATGCGTATTTCTGGATTTTTTTGTTGTTATTCTGTCGCTCACTGTTCAAATAAACCTACCATTAAAATTATAGACTGATCATGTCTTTGTCAGTGGGCAAACGTACAAAATCAGCAGGGGATCAAATACTTTTTTCCCTCACTGTACATATGAGATGAGTAGTGCAAGATATGTAAACATTATTAAAGTGACTAGTGTTCCATTTCTTAAAGTGGCCAGTGATTGCAATAGGCAGCAGCAGTCTCTAATGTGCTAGTGATGGCTATTTAACAGTCTGATGGCCTTGAGATAGAAGCTGTTTTTCATTCTCTCGGTCCAAGCTTTGATGCACCTGTACTGACCTCGCCTTCTGGATGATAGCGGGGTGAACAGGCAGTGGCTCGGGTGGTTGATGTCTGCTAAATGACTAAAATGTAAATGTTGATGTCCTTGATGATCTTTTTGGCCTTCCTGTAACATCGGATGCTGTAGGTGTCTTGGAGGGCGGGTAGTTTGCCCTCGGGAATGCGTTCGGCAGACCGCACCACCCTCTGGAGAGCCCTGCGGTTGCGGGCGGTGCAGTTGCCGTACCAGGCGGTGATACTGCCCGACAGGATGCTCTCAATTGTGAGGGTTTTAGGTGCCAAGCCAAATTTCTTCAACCTCCTGAGGTTGAAGAGGCTCTGTTGCGCCTTCTTCACCACACTGTCTGCGTGGGTGGACCATTTCAGTTTGTCAGTGACGTGTACGCCAAGGAACTTGAAGCTTTCTACCTTCTCCACTGCGGTCCCGTTGATATGGATAGGGGGGTGCACCCTCTGCTGTTTCCTGTAGTCCACGATCATCTCCTTTTGTTTTGTTGAGTGAGAGGTTGTTTTCCTGGCACCACACTCCCAGTGCCCTCACCTCCTCCCTGTAGGCTGTCTCGTCATTGTTGGTAATCAAGCCTGCTACTGTTGTCGTCTGCAAACTTGATGATTGAGTTGGAGGTGTGCATGGCCACACAGTCATGGGTGAACAGGGAATACAGGAGGGGGCTGAGCACGCACCCTTGTGGGGCCCCAGTGTTGAGGATCAGCGAAGTGGAGATGTTGTTTCCTACCTTCACCACCTGGGGGTGGCCCGTCAGGAAGTCCAGGACCCAGTTGCACAGGGTGGGGTTCAGACCCAGGCCCTCGAGCTTAATGATGAGCTTGGAGGGTACTATGGTGTTGAATGCTGAGCTATAGTCAATGAACAGCATTCTTACATAGGTATTCCTCTTGTCCAGATGGGATAGGGCAGTGTGCAGTGGGATGGCGATTGCATTGTCTGTAGATCTATTGGGGCAGTAAGCAAATTGAAGTGGGTCTAGGGTGACCGGTAAGGCAGCGGTGATATGATCCTTGACTAGTCTCTCAAAGCACTTCATGATGACAGAGGTGAGTGTTACGGGGTGATAGTAATTTAGTTCAGTTACCTTTGCTTTCATGGGTACAGGAACAATGGCGGCCATATTGAAGCATGTGGGAACAGCAGACTGGGAAAGGGAGAGATTGAATATGTCCATAAACACACCAGCTAGCTGGTCTGTGCATGCTCTGAGGACACTGCTAGGGATGCCGTCTGGGCCGGCAGCCTTGCGGGGGTTAACATGCTTAAATGTCTTACTCACGTCAGCGACGGAGAAGGAGAGGCCGCAATCCTTGGTAGTGGGCCTCGTCGGTGGCACTCTCCTCAAAACGGGCGAAGAAGGTGTTTAGCTTGTCTGGAAGCGAGACGTCGGCGACATGGCTGGTTTTCCTTTTGTAGTCTGTGATTGTCTGTAGACCCTGCCACATACAGTGGGGAGAACAAGTATTTGATACACTGCCGATTTTGCAGGTTTTCCTACTTACAAAGCATGTAGAGGTCTGTAATTTTTATCATAGGTACACTTCAACTGTGAGACGGAATCTAAAACAAAAATCCAGAAAATCACATTGTATGATTTTTAAGTAATTAATTTGCATTTTATTGCATGACATAAGTATTTGATACATCAGAAAAGCAGAACTTAATATTTGGTACAGAAACCTTTGTTTGCAATTTCAGAGATCATACGTTTCCTGTAGGTCTTGACCAGGTTTGCACACACTGCAGCAGGGATTTTGGCCCACTCCTCCATACAGACCAATACAGACTTTCAGCTCCCTCCAAAGATTTTCTATTGGGTTCAGGTCTGGAGACAGGCTAGGCCACTCCAGGACCTTGAGATGCTTCTTACGGAGCCACTCCTTAGTTTCCCTGGCTGTGTGTTTCGGGTCGTTGTCATTTTGGAAGACCCAAGCCACGACCCATCTTCAATGCTCCTACTGAGGGAAGGAGGTTGTTGGCCAAGATCTTGCAATACATGGCCCCATCCATCCTCCCCTCAATACGGTGCAGTCGTCCTGACCCCAAATAATGTTTCACGGTTGGGATGGTATTCTTGGGGTTGTACTCATCCTTCTTCTTCCTCCAAACACGGCGAGTGGAGTTTAGACCAAAAAGCTCTATTTTTGTCTCTTCAGACCACATGACCTTCTCCCATTCCTCCTCTGGATCATCCAGATGGTCATTGGCAAACTTCAGACGGGCCTGGACATGCGCTGGCTTGAGCAGGGGGAGACTGTGGTCCCAGCTCTCTTCAGGTCATTGACCAGGTCCTGCCGTGTAGTTCTGGGCTGATCCCTCACCTTCCTCATCATTGATGCCCCACGAGGTGAGATCTTGCATGGAGCCCCAGACCGAGGGTGATTGACCGTCATCTTGAACTTCTTCCATTTTCTAAAAATTGCGCCAACAGTTGTCGCCTTCTCACCAAGCTGTTTGCCTATTGTCCTGTAGCCCATCCCAGCCTTGTACAGGTCTACAATTTTATCCCTGATGTCCTTACACAGCTCTCTGGTCTTGGCCATTGTGGAGAGGTTGGAGTCTGTTTGAGTGTGTGGACAGGTGTCTTTTATACAGGTAATGAGTTCAAACAGGTGCAGTTAATACAGGTCATGAGTGGAGAACAGGAGGGCTTCTTAAAGAAAAACTAACAGGTCTGTGAGAGCCGGAATTCTTACTGGTTGGTAGGTGATCAAATACTTATGTCATGCAATAAAATGCAAATGAATTACTTAAAAATCATACAATGTGATTTTCTGGATTTTTGTTTT